AATGTTTTACTGCGATATCCTGTAATATAAACGCAATTTATTTTAAAATTATTCGCTTTTAATAACGATGAGGATCTGTATATAAAATTTGAGTGTAATCTACTAAACTTAATAAACATTTTTAAATTAATTTTTTTTATACAATACCACTCAACATAACAATATAAATCTATTACAAATATACAGTCTTTATCTATTAAAAATATGTATATCCAAGATCAGTTTAAAATGGCCTTGAAAGATCTGACGATCTCAAAATTAACGAACGCATTACAACCTATCAACTCTTGGCAAGCGAGCTGACCTCAGTTTCTGTTATTTTGAATTGTTATCAGGATGGTGCTGCAGTCCACTTCCTGTTTCTTTTCCTTCGGTTGCCTCTTGCGACACCCACGGGATGTTATGGGTTCTCTTACATCGTCGCTACGCAGTATAATGAACAATTCATTTAAATTAATATAGTTTAAAACTTTTCAATGTAAGTTTATGTAGAAGAGTCACGCTGCAGCGTATTATGACTGAAGCACGAATACGCACGACTCGACCGGTAAACGGACACGCTCGCACAGAATACCAGAAAGACCAGCATATCTACGGTAGGTGGCAAACCGTAGACTCTTTGCTAGTTCTTCAGGAGGACTATTCCTCAAGGGGTTGACCTGCGTATTTTAGTTTTAAGGTGTCTATGGACACCAACTTATCATCAGGTGGACTGTGAGCTTGTGTAGAACCCTAAAATATGTAAAATTAAGTGAAAACAGTTAAAAACACGATGATACTTTACAAACTATTTTGATTCATATTTATATTCCCAGTGTTTAGATTGGTGTACGCGTACATAACCTGTACCTACAATGGCCGTGTAAAGGCCGTGACTAAGTGTTGAGCTTTTTGATCTGACGTCATTTAAAGTTGTTGACCCAAGTTAGCTTCATTCGAGTGCCGTTCATTTCCTCTGAATACTACATTACCTGTGCTTATTTTATTTTATGTGCCATGTGACTATAGTTTTAACAGAATATAAATTATTTTCAAATATATGTAGCGTATACGATGATGGTAAGTGAATGTTCTGGCCATTAGGCACCTACATTTTACCCTTGATTATGAATGAAAATATAATGCGTTGTCGCTCTGAGGACTAAAATTCTTTGTTACCAGGTAAAGAAAAGAAAGGAAAGGTCTCCGGTTCACGTAACTCACAATACATGACACAACATCATTAGGCTGCTACTTTATGCTGGGGTTCTGTGCGAGCCTTCCTCGGTCGGGCCAACCTTTTGCATGCTGCAACTATAATATGCAACCGCGTGGCTCTACAACGTACAAAGTACAAGTGGTGAGTTTTTGACAGTTAATGTCCGCCTTACTTAATTTATGTTGACGTCATTTTATAGTCTATATTTACCACGTAATAATAACAAAACGTTTGAGATAATCCTTCTTATTTTATTTTTTATTTTTTTACGTGGTAGAGCCATGCTGCAGTTATATTAGTAGTATAGTTGTAGCACGCATGGGTCTGCTCGACCGGGGAAGGACCACGCTCTCACAGAATACCAGCGTGAAATAGTAGCTTGATGCTGCTGTGTTTCGTATGGTGAGCGTAGAGAACCGGAGAACCTTTTACTGGAAACGAGGCATTCCATCTAATTCCTCACGGATGACAACGCGTCTGCATTTTGATTCGAAATCGAGGATAGATGTTGATGTCTGTGGGCCACAGCTACCACTTACCATCAGGTGGACTGTGTGCTCGTTTGTCATCCTATCCTATAAAAAATAAGATGTTTATAAGTTTCAGTCTGTTTCAATTAAAGAAGTTGGGTGGAAAATATTCGAACTAAAATGAAAACTATAGAATTTGGGAGCAAATGTCAATTTCGTGAAGACCGAGGCTAAGGGACCATTTTCATGACAAAGACACTTCTTTTAAATCGAGACTAGTTTTTGGCAGTTAATGTCCGCCTTACTTAAGTTTATGCTGACGTCATTTTATACTCGTATGTTTACCACGCAATAATAACAAAACGTTTGAGATAATCCTTCTTATTTTAAAATGTTTGTAAGTTTCAGTCTGTTTCAATTATAGAAGTCAAGCGGAAAACATGCAAACTCAAATGTAAACTATAGAATTTGGCACCAAATGTCAAATTTCGCGAAGACCGAGGCTAAGGGACCATTTTCATGACAAAGACACTTCTTTTAAATCGAGACTAGTTTTTGACAATGTCCGCCTTACTTAAGTTTATGCTGACGTCATTTTATACTCGTATGTTTACCACGCAATAATAACAAAACGTTTGAGATAATCCTTCTTATTATAAAATGTTGTTTGTAAGTTTCAGTCTTTTTCAATTATAGAAGTCAAGTGGAAAACATGCAAACTCAAATGTAAACTATAGAATTTGGCAACAAATGTCAAATTTCGCGAAGACCGAGGCTAAGGGACCATTTTCATGACAAAGACACTTCTTTTAAATCGAGACTAGTTTTTGACAGTTAATGTCCGCCTTACTTATTTTATGCTGACGTCATTTTATACTCGTATGTTTACCATGCAATAATAACAAAACCTTTGAGATAATTCTTCTTATTATAAAATGTTGTTTGTAAGTTTCAGTCTGTTTCAATTATAGAATTCAAGTGGAAAACATGCAAACTCAAATTCTTATTATAAAATGTTGTTTGTAAGTTTCAGTCTGTTTCAATTATAGAATTCGAGTGGAAAACATGCAAACTCAAATGTAAACTATAGAATTTGGCAACAAATGTCAAATTTCGCGAAGACCGAGGCTAAGGGACCATTTTCATGACAAAGACACTTCTTTTAAATCGAGACTAGTTTTTGACAGTTAATGTCCGCCTTACTTATTTTATGCTGACGTCATTTTATACTCGTATGTTTACCATGCAATAATAACAAAACCTTTGAGATAATTCTTCTTATTATAAAATGTTGTTTGTAAGTTTCAGTCTGTTTCAATTATAGAATTCAAGTGGAAAACATGCAAACTCAAATGTAAACTATAGAATTTGGCAACAAATGTCAATTTCGTGAAGACCGAGGCTAAGGGACCATTTTCATGACAAAGACACTTCTTTTAAATCGAGACTAGTTTTTGACAGTTAATGTCCGCCTTACTTATTTTATGCTGACGTCATTTTATACTCGTATGTTTACCATGCAATAATAACAAAACCTTTGAGATAATTCTTCTTATTATAAAATGTTGTTTGTAAGTTTCAGTCTGTTTCAATTATAGAATTCAAGTGGAAAACATGCAAACTCAAATGTAAACTATAGAATTTGGCAACAAATGTCAAATTTCGCGAAGACCGAGGCTAAGGGACCATTTTCATGACAAAGACACTTCTTTTAAATCGAGACTAGTTTTTGACAGTTAATGTCCGCCTTACTTATTTTATGCTGACGTCATTTTATACTCGTATATGTTTACCATGCAATAATAACAAAACCTTTGAGATAATTCTTCTTATTATAAAATGTTGTTTGTAAGTTTCAGTCTGTTTCAATTATAGAATTCAAGTGGAAAACATGCGAACTCAAATGTAAACTATAGAATTTGGCAGCAAATGTCAAATTTCGCGAAGACCGAGGCTAAGGGACCATTTTCATGACAAACACACTTCTTTTAAATCGAGACTAGTTTTTGACAGTTAATGTCCGCCTTACTTATTTTATGCTGACGTCATTTTATACTCGTATGTTTACCATGCAATAATAACAAAACCTTTGAGATAATCCTTCTTATTATAAAATGTTGTTTGTAAGTTTGAGTCTGTTTCAATTATAGAATTCAAGTGGAAAACATGCAAACTCAAATGTAAACTATAGAATTTGGCAACAAATGTCAAATTTCGCGAAGACCGAGGCTAAGGAACCATTTTCATGACAAAGACACTTTTTTTAAATTGAGACTACTAATAAATTACTTAATAAGACCGATTGTATATAAATCTGATAGCTAGTTTAGAAGTTAAGTGCTGACAAAGAATCGTAAATATATTTTTAATAATCATACTCTTGTTGACAAGTTAACTCTAAATACTACCCATCGAGCCTCCTTTGCGGCTCCTTCGGTTGTTAATTGCAATTTGTGTGATTTACAAAAAAAGCCAAGTCACGCACTATGTATAAAAAACAGCAAGCTGCGTTTGTTATATATAAATAATGAGCACAAACCCAACAATAGCTGGGCGTACGTAATTAGCGACATCACCTCTACCCCGCGACCTGAGTAAACAACTCGCCATGATGTCATGTTGATGTTGTTGACCCACAGTTCAGATAGGCGTCCGCTTCTTATTTTCGGTCGGACATATATCACCGAAATGTTAATTCACTATATGCAAGAATATCATGTATTATTTTCATATTGTTAAAAAAATTAATATAATTGTATTTATACAATATAGATTACAGTAATAATTATTGAAAGTCATTAATATTATACGTGGTAGAGCCATGCTGCAGTTATATTAGTAGTATAGTTGTATCACGAATGGGTCGGCACGACCGGGGAAGGACCACGCTCTCACAGAATACCAGCGTGAAATAGCAGCATAATGCTGCTGTATTTCGTATGATGAGTATAGAGTACCGGAGACCCTTTTTACTGGAAACGAGGCATTCCATTTTAGTGACAACGCATCTACATTTTGATTTGTAATCGAGGATAGATGTAGATGTCTATGGGACGCAGCAACCACTTACCATCAGGTGAACTGTGTGCTCGTTTGTCACCCTATCCTATATATATATATATATATATATATATATATATATATATATATATATATATATATATATATATATATATATATATATATATATATATTACCACTGGTTCGGAAAAAAACCTCTGTCCTGGTAAGTACCATTTTTTTTGAAGAAGTATATAAAAGAAATCAAAATAAGTATGACTTAACGTTTATTTTTTGCATCCAATTATTAACGGGTGAATAAAAAAGTGAACTTACCTGGCTAATGCCCCCTTTAATTTGACCATGCCATTAGGTGTGGTGTTGTGTTTGTTCGTGTCCGCCACTTTACTTGGTATAACATCAGGTTGTTGGTAGTTAGCATTATGGGGAATGTCGCATAGTAGTGGTTCCATACGGCAGGAGATCGACGCACGTTTGGGCGGAGTGGCACGCGGATAGGTATGGTGGCGGGACGAACTTGCCGATGCCTCGCTGCATCTCTGCTTGGGCAGAGTTCTGGCGCATAAAGCACTGGCGGCGTTTTTAAGATGCGTACGGAATCTGTTATTGCTTTGGGCGCTCAATATTGCACCTTCCATCATCAATCACACAACAATCTCACTTAGTGTATGTTCGAATCCATTATTTCTTTGTCCATTTCACTTTTGCACAACGAACTGTATTTACTATCTAGAGCACGTTAGCTTAAAAGGCACATCAAGTAATAACGTTCACTGTACACTGTTTTATGATTGTCAACTTCATTATTCTTGTAATAACAATTTAAAATTTTAAACATGTTTTTGACTGAAATAATACAATATGAAGTTATTTTCGATTAATTTACGATCCTTGTATTTGATGTCATAAAAGACAAATTTACTGATAATAGAATATTTTTAGACTCTTTAAATAATTAATACCTGGTTAAACAAAATTATTGTTAATATATAAAGGGATTAGGTTTCAAAAAGCATCAAGGTTTATGATTTTATATAATTGCTGAAAATATAGAAGTTTTACGTTTAAATAATTAAGCTAAAAACTGGCTTAAAAAGAACCTGAAAAAGCTTATTGTTTAATCTACTACCTAGTCGCGGTCTATTTAACCTGTTGCTCGCTCTACTGCATTGCAGTAAGCGTTGTGTGGGCACATCTACTTATGAAGCTGAATGAAGGAACTTATCTATGTCACAGAATATATAATAGTCTAAGATATAATAAACATCGTTCTAGCACTTATACCACTGTTAATGATGTATATGTATAATAGTAACTTTACATTAGCCGAAATAATGAATGGAAATTTAAGTTTCGTTTCACGCGCATTGTAAAGCTACGCTTGTGGAAATTTTGCCTCACGGTCAGTGGAGGGGGGAAGTCAGGGGCGAAGCGCAGCGTAGGCGCGCTGACATCACCGTCGAAGCCAGCCGCTCTTACATCACCGGCGACTACCTCCCACTGGCCGAATTGAGCCGAGCAGCTCTCAGTTATTGCTATCGACAATACATCGTTCACGTTCGCCGCCTTTGTCGGTCATGCGAATGACGACTGACTACATCCAAATAGTTTATCGCAACGTAAAAATCAGCTCGAAGTTTATATTTACATATATGTTAATCGTCTGACTTGCGTATTTTGTAAAGTAATTTAAAATAAAAATCCACTTGATAGTTTCCGAAGTCGGTACTGAAATATAGTGTATCCAAAATACATATAAATACAATACAATAATAAAACCTCCACTTCAGAAGCTATCACGCGGAAATTATTCTATTGTCTATAGTTTTGGAGTCGGTTTTACTTCTTAGAGAAATCTAATTTTAGGAGTTTATTTTTTACCATTTCGAGTTTACCAAGGAATATCACAACTTCAAGGTAACAACAGAACGTCGTTTAAATAGAAACATTAAAATCATCATCCCATATATACCAACCTGAAAAATGGAATTTTTGACCACGCCATAAATTATAACCTATTAAGTAAAAAAAAAAGAATCATTTAAATCTGTTCAGCCGTTTTCGATAAATAGGTGAACATACAATTTTTTGAACTTGGTGAATAATTTAAAAATAAAAACTAAGTTGTAATCATCTCTATCTATTGCTACTGCAACCTACCTATATATATCCTGGTATATAAATTCATGGTACTATTTACATTTTCTGTAACTACATAATATGATATGATGACATATTATAACCTTCAAATAAATTTGTCGGTACGAATTGACAAGTTGACAAAGTTTTATCGCAATCTCATGAACGGTATGACTTCACATAAAATACGACCAAACAAAAATTAATTTTAATATATAAGATATACAATATTGTAACATTGAATCTAACACATTAGTCAAAGCAGTTAGCCAGCTCGGAGACTAATTACTTCTTAAAGCCTAGCTACGATATTCCGTAACGGAATTCCGATTCGGGATTCCGAATGCAGCAAGTCCATATAAAATCAAGGACCCGTCACATACGTACAGTAGTTTTCCATTCGAAATTCTGGAAGCAAAACGAGATACCGTATGTATGTGGCGGATCTAAAAACATATATTCGGAATTCCGAATGTAGGCAGGCCCTTTGAGTATTCAACCAACGCCGGACTTAATATTTGCTTTTATATTGAGCTTTTATGAGTTTTCTCAAAGCCTCTGCGATAGCAACTTAAATCTGGTCATCCATTATAGTATTTTTGATTTGACAAAAGACTAGTGACCGAGATTTTGCTAGAAAATCACGTTAATTAATTTACCAAGGGCGATTACTAACTTTAGTTAATAATTACACTATTGCAATGAAATAAATTTAGAAATTATTATTAAACACAAAATACAAATATTGCACAACTTCGTATTATTTATACCTTTAATTTTACAAGGATAACAAGAACCCTAATACATAAATATTAATATCTGTTTGTTCGTATTTTATGCGCTACCAGATATAGGTGGCGGGCGTATCGTTACGACAAATTTATTTGAAAGTTATTATATCATTAAATATTAATCAATGTAATAACATTCCTAATTAAACAATATAAGTCTTCCAAATTTAAAACAATATTTTCGCAATTATTACTTGGTCTGCGGCTGCAACGTCTCTGCTAATAGCTACAAAAAATGAAATACGATATTGAATAGCAAAATACAATCATCAATTCTTTAAACAATCGCTGTCAATTTTTAATGTAATTAACTTTCTTTGCGTTAATCAAAACTCGCTAAGCGTACGTAATCTTTCGACCAACAATCATAGTTACGTGATAATACTTGTATCATAATAACTTATTAATGGTTCTAATAATTGCTCGCAACAAGCTAGCACGTCCTTAAACTTTTGTCAGTCTTAAAGGTCTGTCTTATTACAAAAAGCAGTTTATAATCAATATCAGGTTTAAAATACAGTATGTTTCAATAAAGAAGTCCCATAGAAAATATGCAAACTCAAATTAAATAAAAGTAGTATGTATGATTTGACAATGATGTGAAATGAAATTTCGCGTAGAGTGGCACAGCGGTTGAAGAATATAATTATTGTAAATCCATACTTTAAACCAGAGGTCATTAATAAACAACGTTTTGTATCTAGAAGCTGCGACATTAGCAAGCGATCGAGGTTGTTATCGCCCACTATATTGGCATAATTAGAAGTAGATTGTAATTACGCGATTTCATGCCAGTTGGACGACAATTACTTAATTAGGCTACAATTGGCATAATAGGTTTGTTACCGACGGACAAAATTACAGAGAGCGTACGCATACCTACTTACTGGTACTTCCAAAAGAAAATAAATTGATTTTAAGTATTACTAACTAAAAAGTGACGAATTTGTGGAGCTTTAAACCAAAAAAGCTATGGCAAAACTTGCTATCAAATTTTCCCCAAGTAAATTAAAGTAATTTACAATTCGATTCAACATGATATATCTACGCTCCAGCCATTTTACACGGTTAAAGCTCCTCAGATTGTGTGAACGATATTATTCAATTTAGATTTACATAAATCTGTTCACACAATGCTGTAAGCATCGATACCAATCAAATTGGATGTACTAATGTGAAAATTAAATATTATCAATTTTATTTTATACGGATTTTAGACGTGTAACTCAGATTACATGGCTGTTATCAAAACTTGTGGCTTCCCCGTGGCTGTTCAACCTATTTATGGACAGTTGTTTGCAAAATTTGAAAGTTGAAGAATGCGGATTAAGAATGGGTGAGTTAACCGTCAAATGCCTTTTGTACGCCGATGATCAAGTTATCCCTGCGTCGTCGGGGGCCGAGTTGCAAATGATGGTTACATTAATGAACAGATCATTAAAAGAAAGGGGTATGAAAGTGAACGCAAGTAAGACGAAGGTTATGGTTTTTGAAAGAGAAGAAAGTAAAACGATTTGTGAAATAAGAATAGAAGGGGAGTTGATCGAGCAAGTAGATGAGTTTGTATATGTGGGCTGCGTATTTAGCAGGGATGGGAGATATGATAAGGATATAGAACGACGAGTGAATGCGAGAAATAGAGTAAATGGGGCCCTGCACTCTATTGTGAAGAGTCAAAATGTGTCAAAAAAGGCACGTATGGCAATTCACAATGCTGTGTTGGTCCCTACTTTAACGTATGGTAGTGAAAGTTGGGTGTGGCAGAAGAAGCATGAGAGTAGAATCAACGCAGTAGAAATGCGGTCCTTAAGGAGAGGGTATGTTAGGGCTGAATCTGAACGACAGGGTAAGAAATTGTGTAATAAGAGAAGAGTGTGGTTTGCAAGATGATGTTGTGACCAGGATTAAGAAAGGAATGCTTCGGTGGTTTGGTCATGTGGAAAGAGATGAGAGAGTGACAAAGAAAATTTATGTTGCAGAAGTGAATGGCAGAGTCGGAAAGGGACGTCCTAGGCGAAAATTTATCGACCAAATTGGCGATTTATTGAAAACGGGCCAAATTAGGAGTACCCTTAACCGACGAGCATGTATGCGTAGGTGTACGGATGTGAAGGAGGCGAGAGAGGTGTGTCAGGATCGTGCAAAATGGAAGTCTGTAGTCTCTGCCTACCCCTCTGGGTGACAGGCGTGAGTGTTTATGTTATGTTATGTTATCAAAATTTTGACTTATTTTTGATTTCAGAAGTTTTTTTTAAATAATATTACTTAAAATCAGATACAAAAGGGAATTGCAAACAATGTAATATAGTATTTATTATACAACTTATTACGACAAAGTTATTAAGGTAAATATTTCAATTTTATTTCACTATTCAGTTCAGATGTGTAATACACATAAGCCCATAACAATTCACTACTAGACGCGTGCTTTTTCCATTGTAGTATTGGCTGGTCGATTGGCACCAAGTGTTACGTTTCACACGTTTGACGCAGCGTAAGAGACATCGCCATCTATTGAAGCCATGAGCTTTTTCTGGCATTTTTCCCATAATCGCTTCTTACGACGCGACGCTCACTTCATGATAATATAATGTGATGAAAATGGATAGATGAATTCTAATACTCTACCCGCAGCAGTATTACTTTTGATATAGTACTGGTTAAGACTTTGAATAACAATAATTTGTTCGATAATAATAGATTAGCAA